CCCTGCAAGGTAAGAAGGGGGCAGCGCTAGAACTCATGTTGGGAGGAGAGGATTGGATACGTGGTCCTGATACCCGTGTGTGATTCCAGGGAAGCTACTTTGGAACAGAGACCCTGAAGAATCTGGTCCTGCACTTCCTGCAGCAGTGAGTATGCAGGCCCCCCCGAGGCTGGGGAGCGGTGGGTGGGTCCCGGCACAGCTCCCTCTGGGGAGCCAGACCCGGGAGCTCAGACTGTCCCTTTTGTGTTCTGCACAGGTACTATGCGGTGTACGACTCTGGAGACCGGCAGCGGCTCCTGGACGCCTACCACGACGGGGCCTGCTGCTCCCTCAGCATTCCCTTCACGCCCCAGAACCCTGCCCGGTGAGTGTCCCTGGCCACAGCCTGCCCAGGACCATGCAGGCGAGCACCTGCCAGCTCACATCCTGCTCTGACCCCTGCCTCCTTTTCCGCTTCTTCCTCTAGAAGCAACCTGGCCGAGTACTTCAAGGATAGCAGGAATGTGAAGAAGCTCAAAGACCCAAGTAAGTGTGCGATGTGAGCAGAACAGGGTGGGAGAGGGGGGCGGGCGGGCGGGACTCGGTCACGGGGCTCAGGAGCGTGCGGCAGCCCCTGACCTTGGGTTCTCCTCTCCCACAGCCCTGCGGTTCCGGCTGCTGAAGCACACACGTCTCAATGTCGTCGCCTTCCTCAATGAGCTGCCCAAAACTCAGCACGACATCAACTCCTTTGTGGTAGACATAAGCGCGCAGACAGTAAGCACCTGTTTCTTGCCCACAAAAGCCGGAACTGAGGAAGGGCAGTTACGAGGCCTGGGGGCCTGCGGGCTCTGGCCGGGAGCCTGCATGGTGACAGACGCCTCTTCTCTTTCAGAGTACGTTGCTGTGTTTTTCTGTCAACGGGGTCTTCAAAGAAGGTAAGAAGCTTTGGAGTCCCGAGTTTGCAGAGTGGGCCCTCCCTCAGCGAGATTTTTTTTTCTCAACACTCTCAGCTACCTTCCTTCTCTGTCCCTGACCTCCTCCTCTTCTGCCCCCAAGCCACCTTCATGAGGCCTCCCCTCCCCACCCCATGTCTGGGAAATGGGACAAGCCTGAGGATTAGGAGGACACAGACTCTGAGGTCAGGCAGGTCTGGGCTTCCATTCCAGCCTCGGGCCCATGGGTCTGTGGGCAACTTATATTATCTCTGGGCTTCGAATTCTTTATTTGTAAAAGGGGGTTGGTAAGAGCCATCTCACAGCCGTGCCGTGGGGAGTCAGCGCAGCGCCTGACACAGGAGCTAACGCACGGGTCCTCTGGGTGGGCTAACGCTGGTGGTGGTTCGCCCTGCCCTCCCGACACTCCTCTTCCCCTCTCCTCCCCTATACACACATAATCATCTGTCTGGTCTGCTTCAGTTGAGTTGTATCCAGTAAGACCAGGATTGGAGAAGCTTTTAGTAAACTTCAGGTGTAGCTGATTCTAAGGGGTCGTTGCTGTTGTTAACATTACAGTGGACGGAAAGTCTCGGGATTCTTTGCGAGCCTTCACCCGGACATTTGTCGCTGTTCCTGCGAGCAACTCAGGGTGAGTGAGTGGTTTACCACATGGGGTCCCAGTCCCAATCCGTGGCCAGCATGTGGGAATTAGTGGGGGGATGTGAAGGGGGAGCCGATCCTCAGGAAATGTTCCGAATTTCAGGAGGAGGCTCTCACAGTGGTGGTGAGCTCGGCTCTGGAGTCAGACTGTTTGGGTTTTTCATCTGGCTGCACCACTTCTAGCTGAGAGCAGGTTTCCTCATTGGGAAACTAACATAAGCTACTTACTTCTTTGGTCTATTGTGAAGATCAGTGGGAATAAGAACTTCCCTGAGTTGGGAGAGAATATGTAACTCTAATGTTGTTTGGCATCTGCCCCCATACATGGGTTCTTAGGGGCATAAGGTGCGTAAATGATAAAAGGTAATGACCAAGGGGCGCCTGGGTGGCTCAGTCGGTTAAGCGGCTGCCTTTGGCTCAGGTCATGATCCCAGGGTCCTGGGATCGAGCCCCACGTCCGGCTCCCTGCTCAGCGGAGAGCCTGCTTCTCCCTCTCCCTCTGCCTACTTGTGCTCTGTCAAATAAATAAATAAAATCTTAAAAAAAAAAAAAGTAATGACCAAGAGTGGGGAGGGGGACTTGGTGGGTATTGAAAGAATCAGTTAAGTGTAAAAGTGTCAAGTGTGAGAACAGGAATAATGTTGGGAAGTTGAGGTTGGCTGTCTGTCCAGCTGTCTAAAGTGCTTTTTGTCCCGAAGGCTGTGCATCGTGAACGACGAGCTGTTTGTGCGGAATGCCAGCCCTGATGAGATCCAGAGAGCCTTTGCCATGCCTGCACCCACCCCTTCCTCCAGTCCAGTGCCCACCCTGTCCCCAGAGCAGCAGGAAATGCTGCAGGCGTTCTCTACCCAGTCCGGCATGAACCTTGAGTGGTCCCAGAAGTGAGTACTGGGAATGTGTAGGAATAGGGGTAAACAGAGGTAGGAGTGGAAGTAAATAATGAGTGCTCCTGACATTTTAAAAGCCAAAATTTAGGGGTGTCTGGGTGGCTCAGTCATTAAGCGTCTGCCTTCGGCTCAGGTCATGATCCCAGGGTCCTGGGTCTGAGCCCCGCATCGGGCTCCCTGCTCCGCGGGAAGCCTGCTTCTCCCTCTTCCACTCCCCCTGCTTGTGTTCCCTCTCTCGCTGTCTCTCTCTCTGTCAAATAAATAAAATCTTTAAAAAAAAAAAAACAAAACAAAATTTATAAATATGGCCCATAAAAAAATTTGGCCTATGCCTAAATTAGCATAGCAAAATTTTTATATACTATTCTGCAACTTACTTTTTTTGCTTATCCCATGAATGTCTTTCCCTATCATTATAAAAATTACCTTAGTCTTCTTGATAGCTACTTAATATTCCTTTGTATCCAGTAGACCAGTGATAAGACATTGGGATTTTTACTAATTTTTCATTTGTAATCCATAGTGCAAGAGTGTATGTAATTGTTGGCACACATGGGTGAGTGTTTCTCTAGGAAGGATTGTGAAGTGGCGTTTAGTGAGCAGGGTGCTCTTCCCCCCACTCCAGGTGCCTTCAGGACAACAACTGGGACTACACCAGATCTGCCCAGGCCTTTACTCATCTCAAGGTAAGTTTTGGGAATTCAGTAGCAAGAAGACCAGGGATCTCTGGGCCTTGAGACCGTCAAGCCAACTGGGGGGAGGGGGAAAGGGACTGGCTCTACTGTCCTTTTCTTTTTTTTCTAAGGCTAAGGGCGAGATCCCAGAAGTGGCATTTATGAAGTGATCTGTAGCCGTGCCCCAGAAGAAGCCCCCTGTAAAATAGCCCTTGGATATTGATGTCTCCTTGTCGTGGCTGTCGGCTCTTGTCTCCTCCTCTCTGGCCCCCAGGCCACCCCGTGACTGTGACCGAAGAGGGAGGGCTGCTGGATCCCTCTCCTCACCTGCCTTCTGGAAGACTTCTGGGAGACTTCCAGGAGATTGAGCCTCACTGGTGCCAGGAAGCCAAAGCTTACTTTGTAGAACTGACACTAAACTCCCTCGAAGGATTTAGGTGCTTTGTGTACTTAACCCCAGAACCCGCCGTACTTTTTAAGATAAAGAGTGATATTGTATTTTGTGTCACGATGCTACATTGTTTTTGCCTTGCCCCTTCTTGCGGGGCGGTGCCCCACCCCACCGGGGCGGAAGGCCTCTAAGCTCGGGGGCGGGGCCGCGGGTCGGAAGTCCCGCCCCGGAAGCGACGACGTGCTGGGGCCATGGCGGCGCTTGGGCGGCGGTGGACTGTGCGGCTGCTCGCCGCGCTGCGGCCTCTGCACGACGCGGCTCCGTCACGGGACGTGCTGCTCTTCCAGCACGAACGGGGCCGCTTCTTCGCCGTCCTCGGGCTGTTCTGCGCGGGCCAGGGTGTCTTCTGGGCGTCCCTGGCCGTGGCAGCCTTGGCCCGACCCCCGGCCCGGGCGCTGCCTCCAGACGCGGAGCCCGCAGACCGCGGCCGCTTGGACCTGCGCTCCTCGCTCTGGCGCTACGGCCTGGCCGTCGGCTGCGGCGCCATCGGTAAGGCGTGGGCTGGCTTCCAACACGGGGACGTGGGGCGGCTGGACACGACCCTCTCTGCCCCGGCAAGGACAGTGCGGGGCTCCCGACCCTCCGGGCCGGGCCACGCTGGAGTTGGAGGCCCCTGAGCCAGGCCCTCGGACAGACCTGGGGTGAGGTTTGCCTCTCACTCTGTGAGCTTGAGCAGTTACACCGCTCTGACCCGTCTCGCCCTTGAAACGGGGGGTGTACATGAAGGTTGTTGGGGAGGAAGGACGAACACAAGAGCCGGGTAGAAGAGGAGCTCGGTAAATGTTACTATCATCACAATTTTTTTAATTCTGGGCCACTGGAAAGGTTGCTGCTTAGCTCTTCAGCAAAAACCCCTCACTGCAGACTTTGGTCTTCCTGCAGGTATCCTGGTACTTGGCGCTGGTCTTCTCTTCTCCCTCCGTTCTGTGCGTTCAGTGATGCTGCAGGCTGGAGGGAAGCAGGTGACCCTCACCACTCATGCCCCCTTTGGCTTGGGTGCTCATTTCACCGTCCCTTTGAACCAGGTGTCCTGCATGGCCCACCGTGGTGAAGTCCCTGCTATGTTGCCTTTGAAGATCAAAGGCCGGCGCTTCTACTTCCTCTTGGACAAAGCTGGACATTTCCCCAACACAAAACTCTTTGACAATACTGTGGGTGCCTACCGCAGCTTGTGAAGGAACCACCTTGGGTCGCTCACCTCTCCCAGAGGGGAATAAAAACTGAACCTTGGAGATGGGGTGACAACCAAGGGCAGGACACAAGGGGGCCCAGGGTTCATGAGCCGCAAATAAAAGAGCAGTCATCCCAAGGGCAAGGGACAGAACCTCTGACTTTTGTTCCATATCTGTTTAGCTCTGTCCTCCCATCCACCTGCCTACAGTGCTTTAACACCAAGAACTCAGTACCAAGATGAAGGAAGAAAGTAATATAATATTCTGGTACAAAAACAGCTGTAGGAAGAGAGGCGGAGGGGGCCTATCATCATGTTTCCCTCGTGGAGGGAAAACAGGCTCCCAGCATAAACAGGGCCATGAGGGGGCAACAGGATTGTAGGCACTTGGGCACAGAGTCTTTGGCTGCACGAAGCATTCTTTGGTTACTTCTCAGGAATGGGAAAGGCGTGGCCCAACGAGAGCGTCTGTCTCAGAGCTCCACTCAGGGTCGCCCCGCTCCAGAGGCCGGTATGGGGCGGCTTCGGACTTCCACTGCACCACCTGAAGCACCAAGACCACACACCACAATACCAGATTCACCCAAGAAGAGGTCTGTGGGAGACAGGAACAGGAGTGTGAGGAGTGTGGCCATCTCAAACCCAGTTCCACCCACAAACCACTATTCTCTGTTCATGGTCAGGTTGAAAGCCCTTCAGCCTCTCACTGGAGAGCACCCTTAACAACTACAGGTGCTTATAGGAATCTGTGGGTCCCTGGGTTTCCACCAGTCTTTCATATCCCGGGACCTCACTTCAGCATTGTGTAGGTTGGAGTAAAACTGCAGGGCGGTTCCAGGGGGTGTCCATGGAAGTTTCTGGGCTTCAGAGCAGCTGTGAGGTCAAAGAGATGGTGGTGAGAAAGGGAGGATATACTCCGAACACACCCATGCCCAGGTGCCCTTCAAGGTGAGAGCAACTGACAGGGACAGAAAGGGGGTTATAGCTCCCTTCTACAGAGGGAAGGCAGTCAGCCCCAGCCAGGGTTCCCTCCCTCTCCCATTACCTAATTGTAATGTTCAAGGAGATGATGGATTTGCAGAGAGAACGGGTGCCAAATCGAAGGATACAGGCAGCCACTAAGACCAGGAAGATGGCTATAGCTGAGATGACCAGTGCAATGCGGAGCCCTATGGGACCTCTATGAGGACGGGGAGAGTAAGCCTTGTGGTTGAGGTGGGACTTCTCCCAGCTCAGCCCCCCACCCTCAGCTAGGGCAGTCACCTGTGGGAGTCCTCGATGCAGCTGCTGTAGACCCAGAAGAGCAGAAGCAGGAGACAGTAGAGGGCCAGGAGGCCAGAGACCCCCGCCACAAAGTAGCAGAGGGATGGGGCCGAGGGTTGGGCTAAGGCCGGGGAGGAGCCATTCAGGGCGGCCACACCATACAGGGGACAGCGGCCACTGAAGGAGCCCTGTGAAGAGAAGCTGCTGAGTCCCACCTAGATTTCAGGTTAGAGCCTCGGCGCAGGCTCATGGCAGGTGTGAGGGATAGCCTAGGAGAGGGCTACCCTAGGAAGTTCTCCCTACACTGTCAGTTCCTGTTTCTGGGCCAGTACACTGATGGAGAGGGCCTGCTGGGGAAGTCAAACCTGCGGTGGCCACAAGAATCAGGAAATAGGCGGTGGTTATAAAGGATAGTGAGCTTCGGAGAGGCCTCACAAGTTCTGGTGTCCCCTCTGCAGAAATCCTAGAGTAAAACCAGAACTTGTGTAACCTTCAGCTGTCTCTGGTGTTTTCTCACCTATTAAAAAAAAAAAAGTCCTAACCGGGGCACCTGGGTGGCTCAGTCGTTAAGCATCTGCCTTTGGCTCAGGTCATGGTCCCAGGGTCCTGGGATCGAGCCCCGCATCGGGCTCCCTGCTCGGTGGGAAGCCTGCTTCTCACTCTCCCACTCCCCCTGCTTGTGTTCCCTCTCTCGCTGTGTCTCTGTCAAATAAAATCTTTAAAAAAAAAAAAAAAAGTCCTGGGACGCCTGGGTGGCTCAGATGGTTAAGCATCTGCCTTCGGCTCAGGTCACGATCCCCGAGTCCTGGGATCGAGTCCCGCATCGGGCTCCCTGCTAGGCGGGGAGCCTGCTTCTCCCTCTGCTGCTGCCTCTCTCTCTCTCTCTGACTCTCATGAATAAATAAATTAAAAAAAAAAAAAGTTCTAATAGTGCCTACTTTATAGGGTTACATGAGCCTGTGTTTATGAACACGACTGCCTGGCTGGGGAAACCCTTGGGCTTTCCGTGGGCGTCTCCTACATGGCCGTCTTGTCATTCACACACACTGGGCTGCAATCCTGCGGTAGCCTGGTCATCTCCGCTACACTAAGCTTTATTTCCTGGCGGAGCTCGGCACAACAGTGTCTGATTTAACGGATGAAGGCAGGGCCTGGGCCGAATTCTGCCGCAGAACCAGTGTGAGGTTATGCAGCCGGAGGCACCAGGCCGGGCTATGTCTGCCGCTGTCAGTCACTCCTGAGGACTCGTCCTTTCGGCGAGGAAACGGCTGTGAAGCAGAACACCGGCGGGCGGAGCCACAGAGCGCGATCGGCGCCGATGCATCCCGGCCGCAGAGCGGCGGCCACCCGCTCCCGGGAGCAGCGCGACGGGACCAGCCCGGCCCGGCCAGCAGAGCCAGCACCCCCGCCCC